GGGGAGGCAGGGGAGGACAGAAGGGCTTTTGTTCGGTGGCTCGGCGCCCCGGGCTGAGCTTGGGCTGCTCCTTCCCCGCCCGCAGCGCACGGTGCAGAAGAACGCCAAGTACATCTGCCTGGCCAACAAGGACTGCCCCGTGGACAAGCGGCGGAGGAACTGCTGCCAGTTCTGCCGCTTCCAGAAGTGCCTGGCTGTCGGCATGGTCAAAGAAGGTACCGTGGGGGTCCCATCCCGGGGGTGAGGGGGGGTCCCAGCAGGAGTGGGGGGAGACCATGCTCTGCAGCCCACCTGGCTGAGGACAGACGCACTCATTGCACGTCCCTCACCCCACAGTGGTCCGGACTGACAGCCTGAAGGGGCGGCGGGGCCGGCTGCCCTCCAAGCCCAAGCAGCCGCCAGACACGTCCCCCGTCAGCCTCATCACCTCCCTGGTGCGGGCGCACATCGACTCCGTCCCCAGTGCCACCAAGCTTGACTACTCCAAGGTAGGGCCGGTCCCACCACGCCGCCCTCCCCGGGGCTGCGCTGGGGCCGGGTCCTGACCCCCCCATCCCACGGCAGTTCCAGGAGTCAGCGCCGTGCCAGTTCGAGAAGGAGGATTCGGTGGACGTACAGCAGTTCTATGACCTGCTCACCGGCTCCATGGACGTCATCCGCAAGTGGGCTGAGAAGATCCAGGGCTTCGCCGAGCTGCCCAAGGAGGACCAGGACCTGCTGCTGGAGTCAGCCTTCCTCGAGCTCTTCATCCTGCGCCTGGCATACCGGTGAGCCCCGGCACGGTGCGGCGCGGTGGGGAGCCCCGGGGCCATACCGGGAAGGGGGGTGACACGTGGGTTGTGCCCGCAGGTCCAAGCCAGAGGAAGGAAAACTCATCTTCTGCAACGGGGTGGTGCTGCACCGCCTGCAGTGCGTGCGGGGCTTCGGCGAGTGGATCGACGCCATCCTCGAGTTCTCCCAGAGCCTGCACCGCATGAGCGTCGACATCCCCTCCTTCTCCTGCCTCGCCGCCCTCGTCATCATCACAGGTGAGACAGCCCCCCCCACCCGCACCCCCC